TTGGTGTATAGAAGAGCTACTGATTTGTGTACATTAATCTTGTGCCCAGAAACTTTGCTGAATTATTTTATCAGTTCTAGGAGCTTTTTAAAGCAGTCTTTAGGGTTTTTGAGGTAAACAATCATATCATCAGCAAACAGTAGCAATTTGACTTCCTCTTTATCGATTTGGATGTCCTTTCTTTCTTTCTCTTGTCTGATTGTCTGGAAATCTGGCAAGGACTTCCAGTACTGTGTTGAAGGGGAGTGGTAAGAGTGGGCATCTTTGTCTTATTCCAGTTATCAGAGGGAATGCTTTCAACTTTCCCCATTCAGTATTATGTTGACTGGGGGTTTGTCATAGATGGCTTTTATTACCTTAAGATATGTTTCTTGTATGCCAATTTTGTTGAAAGTTTTAACCATAAAGTGATACTGGATTTTGTTGAATGCTTTTTCTGCATCTATTGAGATGATCATGTGATTTTTGTTTTTAATTCTGTTTATGTGGTGTATCACATTCATTGAGTTGTGTATGTTAAACCATTCCTGCAGCTCTAGTACGAAACTCACTTGATCATGGTGGATTGTTTTTTGGATATGTTGTTGGATTCTGTTAGCTAGTATTTTGTTAAGGGTTTTAACATCTATGTTTATCAAGAATATTGGTCTGCAGTTTTCTTTTTTGGTTATGTCTTTTTCTGGTTTTGGTATTAAGGTGATGCTGGCTTTATAGAATGAATTATGGAGGATTCCTTCTTTCTCTATCTTGTGGAATAGCATCAAAAAGATTGATACCAATTCTTCTTTGAATATCTGGTAGAACTCTGCTGTAAATCTGTCTGGTCCTGGATTTTTGTTGTTGTTGTTGTTGGTAGTTTTTAAATTACCATTTCAATCTTGCTGCTTGTTATTAGTCTGATTAGTCTGTTCAGGGTATCTAATTCTTCCTGATTTAAGCTAGAAGGGTTGTATTTTTCCAGGAATTTATCCATCTCATCTAAGTTTTCTAGTTTATGTGCATAAAAGTGTTCATGGTAGCCTTGAATGATCTTCTGTATTTCAGTGCCATCAGTTGTAATATCTCCTGTTTCATTTCTTAGTGAAGTTATTTGCATTTTCTCTCTTCTTATCTTGGCTAATCTTGCTAGTGGTCTATTAATTTTATTTATCATTTGTTCCATTTATTTTTTGTATTTTTTTTTGTTTCAATTTTATTTAGTTCTGCTCTGATCTTGGTTATTTCCTTTCTTCTGCTGGGTTTGGATTAAGTTTGTTTTTGTTTTGCTAGTTCCTTGAGGTGTGACCCTAGAATGTCAGTTTGTGCTCTTTCAGTCTTTTTTTCTGTAGGCATTTAGGGCTATGAACTTTCCTCTTAACACTGCCTTTTGTATGTCCCAGAGGTTTTGGTAGGTTGTGTCATTGCTGTTCAGTTCAAAGGATTTTTAAACTTCCATCTTGCTTTCATTTTTGACCCAATTTAGGAGAAGGTTATTTAATTTCCATGTATTTGCATTGTTTTGAAGATTCCTTATGGAGTTGATTTTCAGTTTTATTCCACTGTGATCTGAGAGAGTGCTTGATATAATTTCAATTTTCTTAGATTTATTGAGACTTGATTAATGGCCTATCATGTGGTCTCTCTTAGAGGAAGTTCCATGTGCTGTTGAATAGAATGTGTATTCTGTGGTTGTTGGACAAAATGTTCTGTATATGTTTGTTAAGTCCATTTGTTCCAAGGTATAGTTTAGATCCATTGTGTCTTTGTTGACGTTCTGTCTTAATGACCTGTCTAGTGCTGTCAGTGGAGTATTGAAGTCCCCCACTATTATTATTTTGCTCTGTAATTTCTTAGGTCTATTAGTAATTACTTTATAAATTTGGGAGCTCCAGTGTTAGGTGCATATGTTTAGGATTGTGATATTTTTCTGTTGGCAAGGCCTTTTACCATTATATAATGTCCCTCTTTGTCTCTTTTAACTGCTGTTGCTTTAAAGTTTGTTTTATCTGATATAAGAATTGCTATCCCTGCTCACTTTTGGTGTCTATTTTCATAAAATACCTTTTCCCACCCCTTTACTTTAAGTTTAGGTGAGTCCTTATGTGTTATGTGAGTCTCCTGAAGGCAGCAGATAGCTGGTTGGTGAGTTTTTATCCATTCTGTGATTTTGTATCTTTAAAGTGGAGCATTTAGGCCATTTACATTCAGTGTTAGTATTGAAATGTGAGGTACCATTGCATTCATCATGCTCTTTGTTGCCTGTGTATTTTTTTTTTCTGTGAGTTTTCTGCTTGCTTTTTAACTTGTATTTTGTTTTATAGGTACTGTGTGATTAATGCTCTAAAGAGGTTCTGTTTTGATGTGTTTCTAGGATTTGCTTCAAGATTTAGAGCTCCTTTTAGCAGTTCTTGAAGTGGTGGCTTGGTAATGGCAAATTCTCTCAGCATCTGTTTGTCTGAAAGACAGTATCTTTCCTTCATATATGATGCTTAATTTCTCTCGATACAAAATTCTTGGCTGATAATTGTTTTGTTTGAGGAGGCTGAAATAGAGCCCCAATCCCTTCTAGCTTATAGGATTTCTGCTGAGAAATCTGAATCTGACAGGTTTTCCTTTACAGGTTTCCTTGTGCTTCTATCTCAAAACTCTTATGATTCTTTCCTTTGTCTTAACTTTGGATAACTTGATGACAATCTGCCTACATGATGACCTTTTTTGCGATGAATTTCTCACGTGTTCTTTGTGCTTCTTGTATTCAATGTCTAGGTCTCTAGCAAGGCCAGGGAAGTTTTCCTTAATTATTCCATCAAATATGTTTTACAAGGTTTTTGAATTTTCTTTTTCCTCAGGAACACCAATTATTCTTAGGTTTGGTCATTTAACATAATCCAAGACTTCTTGGAGGCTTTGTTTATATTTTCTTATTCTTTTTTCTTTGTCTTTGTTGGATTGGGTTAATTCAAAGACCTGTCTTCAAGCTCTGAGTCTTTCTTCTACTTGTTCAATTCTATTGCTGATATTTTCCAGAGCATTTTGCACTTCTAAAATTGTGTCCAAAGTTTCCTGAATTTTTGATTGGTTTTTCTTTAAGCTACCTATTTTCTTGAATATTTCTCCCTTTACTTCTTGTTTTTTTTTTGGGGGATTTCCTTGCATTGGGCCTTGCCTTTCTCTGGTGCCTCCCTCATTATCTTAATAACTAACCTCCTGAATTCTTTTTCAGGTAAATAAGGGATTTTTTTTTCTTGGTTTGGATTCATTGCTGGTGAACTAGTGTGATTTTCTGGGAGCCTTGTTTTGACATATTACCAGAGTTGGTTTTCTGGTTCCTTCTCATCAGGGTAGGCTCTGTCAGAAGGAAGGTCTAGGGCTGAAGGCTGTTGTTCAGATTCTTTTGTCCCACAGAATGTTCCCTTGATGTAGTACTCTCACCCTTTTTCTGTGGATGTGGCTTCCTGTGAGCCAAACTGCAGTGATTGTTGTCTCTCTTCTGAATCCAGCCACCCAGTGAGTCTACCTAGCTCCTGGCTGGTACTGAGGGTTGATTGCACAGAGTCCTGTGATGTGAACCATCTATGGGTCTCTAAGCTGTGGATACCAGTCGCCTATTTTGGTGGAGGTGGCAGAGGGGTGCAATGGACTCCATGAGGGTTCTTAGCTTTGGTGGTTTAATGCTCTATTTTTGTGCTGGTTGGCCTCCTGGTAGGAGGTGGTGCTTTCCAGAGAGCATCAGCTGTAAAAGTATGGAGAGGGACCAGCAGTGGGTAGGGCCCTAGAACTCTCAAGATTATATGCCTTTGTCTTCCACTATCAGGGTGGGCAGGGAAGGGCCATTAGCTGGGGGCAGGACTAGGCATGTGTGAGCTCAGACTCTCTTCAGGCATGTCTTGCTGAGGTTGCTGTGGGGGTTGGGAGTAAGATTCTCAGGTCACTGGAATTGTGTAGCTAGGAGGATTATGGCTGCCTTTGCTGAGTCTTGCAAGTTGTCAGGGAAGTGGAAATAAGCTGGAAGTCACAGACCTCACCCAGATCCCACACAAACTGAAGGGCTGTTCTCACTCCTACCATGCCTTGTCCAACAACCCCTAGTCTGTTTCCAGGCAGTGGGTGAGATGAGCTTGAAAACTTGCCCCAGGATACCCACTTACCAGCTGCAAAAGAAAATGGTATGGTTCCTACTCCACCTGTGGAGTCTGCACACCAGATTTGTGCCCTTCCCTGAGTTCTGGCCAGAAGGCTTCTCAGCCCATTCAAATTGTTACAAAGTTCAGCTAGGGCTTTTCTTTTCCCTGTGGAGTTTTACCCCTTGCTCCTCTGGCCACCCTCCCAATGGATCCCTGTGGGGCCAGGCAGGAATGGCCTGCTTGGAGACCCAGTGAGGTCCTAGGGCCTTTGTCCTGCTTTTCCTATACCCCTGTATTTCATTCGACTCTTTAAACTGACTCGGCTCCAGGTAAAGTCAGAAACTTCTCACACAAACAGACCTTCATTTTCTCCAGTTGGGGTGTATGGTTTTTTTTTTTTTTCTGATGAGTTTAGCATTTCCAGATGGGCTCAACTCACTCACCTCACACAGGTGTTACCAGGCTGCTTGCTCATGCCCCACTCTGCACCCACTCTGCCTGGCCTCTGTACCCTTGACCCTGTTGTATGCCCCCTCTTCCCTGCTGTGTCTCCCTTCCCAGGGCTCAGATTCTAGAATCTCTTCATCTTCCCCAACTGTAGCCTTGGAAGCAGCGTCTTGCAGAGGTGGAATTAGATGCACCAAAAAGTTAATCTTGGTCCCTACAGTGCTGACCTGGCAGTCCCCAATGCTTATGGCTTTGTGTATATTCCCAGTGCTCCACACAGTGCCTGGCACATAATAGATGCTCAATAAATGGTTGCTGAATCAAAGCAAATTAAGCTGAATCTCCTAGATGATATTTCTCTCTCCCCAAATTGGCCACATGAGGGGCAGAGGCAGGGATTGGTCCCTGAGACTGTCACGGTCCTGCCTCTACCCCCTTTCCTCAGACTTATTCCTTACCCTGGGCACCTGACTCCCTGGGCACCTGACTCCCTGAGCAGGGGTGGGTCTGAGCTCCTGGAAAGGCTGGGAAGTGCTGGAGCAGGGAATGGGGCATTGCCAGCAGCTGTGCCCTTCACACTCTGGCTCCCTCCCTCCCTTCTTCCCTCCAATCCTCCTCAGTCCTGGTTAGAGGGGCTGGGCTCCTGGGAGAGGGGCAGGGCTAAAGGATTCCATCCCTCCACCTCTGTGCGGAGGGCAGGCCAGTCCGCAGGAGGTGGTCCCGTCACTGGAACTTCTTGGCTTGCTGGACGACTGACAAGGCCTGAACTCGAGGACCCCCATCACCCTAGCCGAGCCCATGGTAACGCTGCAGGTAGTGGGTAAGTCCATTTCCTCCTTAAGTGGACATGGAGGCTACATATTCTGTATTGCCTTCCTACACAGGACCTAGCATACCTTCCCAGGTTTCAGTTATGGGAATTAACGGAAAGCCTTCCTGTCCTAACCAAATTCATCTCTTAGCCTGTGTCCTTGAGGACACCCCTTCCCCCACTCCTTTCTAATCATACCCTCATGCCCAGTCCCCCTTTTAGGACAAGATATTCTCCAGACTGTGGGGGCCATTCTCCAACTAACTGGACCCCACACTCAAGCCCATCACCCGCCCACCTCCTACTGCCCCTCCTGACCGACACCACGCCCTGTCTTAACTCCTCACCCCAAGCCCCTATTCCTCCTGATGTAGTTAATCCCTTGGTAAGGGATACCTCTAAACCTGTAGTGGCCAGACACCACATGCCAGTTAAAATACTTCTAAAAATCCTACCCACTTTCCCTCACGTCCTTAGTTCTCCATCTCAAAAACCCACAGTCAAGGCCTGAAGCCTATCATCACCCACCTGCTGGCCCAGTAACTACTCATTAACCACATCACAAAAGGCGGAGCTCATTGCCCTAACCTGAGCTCTTACACTAGCACAGGGAAAGCAAGCAAATATCTATATTGACTCAAAATATGCTTCTCTTATTACCCACTGCCACTCTGCCCTCTGGAAAGAGTGGGAATTCCTTACCACAAAGGGTACCCCATAATTAATGCTACCCAAATCTCTAATTTCCTGCAGGCCCTATCACTGCCCAAAGAAGTTGCCGTCAACCACTGCCGAGGGCACCAGGCCCAGCAGGATGCCGTTTCCTGGGGCAATGCAAGGGCAGATGCGGCAGCAAAATCCTTAACCAGTACCAGGCTAGCCCCCACTCCGGTCCTGTTCCTCACCATGGCCATGCTGCTGGTTTACTCGCCATCAGACAAACAGGCCCTCATATAAGAGGAGGAACTGAGTCTGATGAGGGCTGGTTCTTCTTAAACGACAGGATTGCCCTTTCATGGGAATAGGCCTCTAAAATTATTGCTGAAATCCACCAATCCTTACATATAGGGCCCAAGGCGTTGTACCACTTTGTGCAGCCCCTCCTTTTCTCACCAGGTCTGCAACAGACAATTGAGCAGGTACACAAGGCATGTGTTACTTGCTCTAAGGTCTCGTCTCAGGGAGGCTTCAAGCCACAGTTTCCTACCCACCAAATGCACGGCAACCTGCTGGCCCAAGACTGGCAGATTGATTTTACCAATATGCCCACTCATAAAAAAACTCCGCTACCTCTTAACCTTTGTAGACACCTTTTCTGCATGGATTAAAGCCTTTCCCACCTCCAGGGAAACTGCGGACATGGTGGCCTCCCTCTTAATTCAAGAAATCATCCCTCGTTTTGGCTTACCTGCAACCATCCAGTCAGACAATGGCCCAGCATTTACACCCCAGGTGGTCCAGCTGGTAGCCAAGTCTCTCAACATCTCCTGGAAACTGCACATCCCCTACCACCCTCAGTCATCGGGAAAAGTTGAATGGGCTCGCGGCATCCTTAAAGACCATTTGGCCAAACTTACCATCGAGGTAAAACTCTCTTGGCCCACACTCCTACCTCTTACTCTGGCCTGAGTCCAGGCCACCCCACAGGGGCCAACAGGTCTTAGCCCCTTCGAATTGCTGTTTGGCCAGCCTTTCCTGGTTTCTCACAATCTCCCTGTAAAACCACCCCCACTGGCTTCCTACCTTCCATTCCTCTCTCTTCTCCGCCACCTGTTAAGCGAGCACGCAGACCGCTCCCTCCCTGTTGTTCCAGGACCAGAGGACTCCCACCCAGTGGTGCCTCTCCAACCGGGCAATAGCATTCTCCTCTGAGAACTCGAACCAGGATCCTTGCAACCCAGGTGGTCGGGACCCCACATTGTTATCCTAACCACCCCCATAGCAGCCAAATTCCTGGGTCACACTCCACGGTACCATTTCAGAATCCTGCCTCAAACTGGTCCCCCAAAATGATCAGTGGAAATCTGAACCCCTGGGTCCCACCCGCTTCTGCCTCACCTGTGGCCCCGACCCGTTGCCCCCTAACCCTTCAGAGCCTGCTCCTGACAGTCCTTCTTATATCTCCTCTTGAGGCCAACTCATATGTTTGGCGCTTCTACATCCAGGAATCCTGGACTGAGGGCGCCACCACCAGGACCCATTATCTTGCACAGGCAAACTGCCAAACAGGCGGCTGTCAGTCTACTGTCTCCATCCTCATCCCACATGGTAAAAGTGCCGTACTCGGTTGCGATCATGGGTTTCAGTCTTGGCACTGGCTGTGTTTTCTATATGACCAAACCAAGGACTACTGTCATTGGTGGAACACCACCTATGGGAGGTGCCCATACAGCTCTTGTGTTATTCACAAGCCACAGCCTCCAAGCCGTCCCAATCGCATGCTCAACTGGCTTCGGCAATGGTTCCTTAGCCCTCAACATCCACGACCCCTGGCACAGCCGTTGGGATGTAGGAGTGTCCGGTAAAGTCTATGAGGATTATACCTGGCACCACCTTAACGGGTATCCCCTTGTTCAACGTACACTCTCAAAATCTCTCTCTCTGCTGTGGGACAGACAGCAGCTCCAGTTCCAGCTGTAACACCACAGTAAAGGTAAAGTCCTCCCTCTACGCGCCACCAGGAGGATATTTCTGGTGTAATGGAACCTTAACTAAAGTTATTAATTCTTCCTTCCCTTTCCCTTGTGTGCCTGTCACTTTGGTCCTGCAGTTAGAGGTATATGGACAGGCCGAACTCCTGTCCCTTTTTCCACCTTCCCCTAATTACCAAAACAGACGAGCAGTCTTCCTCCCAATGGTCGCTGGTCTCTCTCTAGCATCCTCTCTAGCGGCGGCTGGGCTGGGTAGTGGCACCCTAGGCTACAGTGTCACCTCAGCCACTCAACTAGGGGACAAGCTTCACATGGCTATCTAAGCGTTGGCCGCCTCCCTGGCCAAATCAAACCTACTGGTAAGTGGAGTGTTTCCCTGAGTTCTGTGAGCAGTCCTGGCAGATTATTGGAATGGGAACGCTCATTTGTGGTTAGTAGGTAAGAAGCACAGGTGACAACCTGGGATTGGCAATTGGTGTCTGAAGTAGGGGACAATCTTGTGAGACTGAGGCCTTAATCTGTGGGATCTGACAGTATCCCAAGTAGATAGTGTCAGAATTGAATTCAGTTAGAGGCCACTTGGTATCTACTGGAGAACTGCTTGGCCTATGGGGAAAATTCCCCATCCATATTGTCACAGAATTGTTCTATATTGTGAGTGTACAGAGAAATAGTGTGTGTTGCCACCAAACTCTATTGCAGAAAATAACTTTTCTTTAAGGGGTAAGAAGTGTTCATTTACTCATCACAGGAACACATGTGGAGCCCCTTTTGGGTGCACGGCCTGGAAGATGATCTTTTAAATAATGGAAGCCCCAGCGGCAGGATTTTTGCCTTTCTTCATGGCTCATATTCAGAGCCTAGAACTATGCTTGGCACAGAGTTGGTGCCCATTAAATATTTGGTGGATGAGTAAATGAATCTTTCTCATACCCTGTTTTTTCATCAAAGACACTTTGATCCTCAGGACCCTTGATTTGCATTAATGGGGAGGAATCTGACCGTACCATGAGGAGGGACAAGGGACATGCTGAGGAATGAGTGTGATCGCTGCGCACATACCAATGCAGCACCAAAGGGAAGAATCGGACACCTGCACTTTGCACTGCTGTGGAAAATCTGACTGGATTTTAAATGTAAGCAGAGAAAAGTTGCTATCCTTACACTTTCTGGTGCACTGCAATATAAATTCTGACATTCATCATCTGGAGTTGGTGCCCACAAGTTAAAGGGCATGGTGCCCAGTGAGCCTGCCCCCACTTCAGAGGCCAGCTTCAAGTAGAGTTCTCAGGGCACCTGCATTTTTGAAAGACTGGCTCAAGATTCAGAGAGTTCCTCTGAGGCCCTTAGATAATCCGCTCAAAAGGCTCACAGAACTTAGGAAAGTGCTGTACTTATGACTGCAATTTTATTATGAAGGATACAAATCAAGACCAGTCAGGTGAAGGAACACGTGGGGCAAGGTTTGGGAAGGAGGCTTCCACAAATTCTGTGCTCTTCCCTGTGGACTAGAAGCTTGCCTTCCTCATGACACAAAGTCCCCACCTTCTAATTATATGGTTGGTCATTCTGGTGCCCAGCCTCCATCATCTTGAGTCATTGCATCCTTTAACATAAAATGAAAGAGCCTCTTGGTGTGATCCAAGAGGCTCAAAAGTAACAAAGATACTCCTATGACTTGTGAAATCCCAAGAATTTAGTGTCTCCGAAGAAGCAGGGACAAAAGCCAGTCAGATTCTTCATTATACAATAAGTGTTCTGATTTTAGAATAGAGTCGTATTTAAAAGCTTGGGAAAAGATTCTTTGCTTGACCAAACTTTAGTCAAGTTCCTGAACCATCTGCTAGGTGCTTTCGTGTACTTCCTTATAAGATTAGTTTTAGTAAGAACTTTGCCAAGTCAGTTTAGCAAAGATCCTCCCACTCTCACTATCTGATTACCCTTAGGATCTGATTGGGTTCCTCTCTTCCATCATCCCCCTAGCAAGATCTGATTACCTTGGTTTGTCTTCAGCAAGAATCCTGTTGGCTGGGTGTGGTGGCTCACACCTGTAATCCCAGCACTTTAGGAGGCTGAGGCGTGTGGACTGCTTGAGGTCAGGAGTTAGGAGACCAGCCTGGTCAACATGGCAAAACACTGTCTCTACTAAAACTACAAAAATTAGCTGGGCATGGTGGCAGGCACCTGTGATCCCAGTTACTCCAGAGGGTGAGACAGGTGAATTGCTCAAACCTGGGAGGCAGGAGCTACAGTGAGATGAGATTGCACCACTGCACTCCAGCCTGGGTGACAGAGTGAGACCCTGTCTCAAAAAAAAAAAAAAAAAAAAAAAAAAAAAAAAAAAAAAAAAAAAAAAAAAAAAAAAAGAAAGAAAAAGAAAAAATTATAAATTTTATAAATTTTATGAAAATCTGACTGGATTATAAAATTTTATAAATTCCCATTTGCCCTTACTATATTTTGTGTTAAGCCCAATTTCTCTGCCCTACTGCAAAGTCCCATGGCAGTGGGCCCTATACCTATCTTGATGATCCTGAGTAAAGTATGCTTTACCATATTTTAATAAGTATCATTGAATCATTTTTTCTTTAATACAGCCACTTAGACAACTGGGCCTTCAGGTCTTATTTGACAAAGATCAAAACACAGCTAGCTTGGCATAGGGAGGCTTTATTTGTTTGTCGGCTTTTAATGTGGTGATGAATTGATTCTAAATGTAACCACACTAAAAATAGAAGTTTATTTGACTTTAATTTTTAAAGACGAATATTTCCAGAAATAAAGGTAGTGGGAACCAGTGGACAATTCTTAAGGTCATAACCATCAGGATGAATAAACTTGAATTTTTTTAGTCTTTGTTACTTGTTCCAGATGCAGATTCCAGGAAGAGGCCTTCTGATTGGACTAGCCTGGACCACATGCTCATTTTTTTTAAATTTACATCCTCTCAAGAGTATAACCAGTGAGTGAAGGATGACTCTGGAAAGAACAGTTACTGAATGCTAGTAGGCAAAAACACAGTAGGCAAAAACAACAGATATGTGCTTCTCCAAAGCATTTTCTCTTGCAAAAATATAAAGTGCCACGTAAGTGGCAATTCTGTTGTACTGTGCAGAGTGATTTTTGAGCTTGAAATTTTAATTAAGATTCATGAATATGGAGCTATGACTTGTATGGCTTTTTTTTTTTTTTTTTAAGCTATCGAACTTGGTTCTAGATTCTAATTAATGTAGAAATGCAGAGCAGCCAAAGAGGCAATTCTGTATCAAACAATAGTGTTACTTAAGTGAAAAAAGTCACAAGCCTATCTTGAAAACCAGAAAAAGGCAAACTGTTTTCCAGAATCACATGTTAGAAACTTTAAAAAATATAGAGCATAGTTTTATTCAAATTATGTAGAGGATTAGGAGAGGGAGCTATAAGCCTTTCATGGCTTCAAGTCTTTAAAGTCAACCCTCAGCAAAAAAGAAGGTAGAGATATGAGTTGGGGGATGGTTGCAGTAGTCTGATTATGCAATCGTGCCATTTTAAATTAAGACAACAAATCAGTGACAATGAAAATGAAGATAAATAGTGAAGAAATATTTTGTTAAGTGGGATTTATATGATTCTGCATTATAAATAATTTTAGAGGTAAGAATCTGACATGATTGTAATAATACTACTAAGTGTTTGCTTTTAAAATCCTCTTACTTGGTAACTATAAAATGCCCTTCTGAATAAGAGTAATGTTTTTATTCCAGCTCTGCAAATAAAAAAAAAACCCTTCACATATTTGTGATTTATCTAAGGTAGAAAACCAAATCCTATTCCATTCCTGATTCTCAACTTATTTTATATTGTATAGCACATGTGGTATCTCATTTTTCTGCATTTTCCTTAACTACAGGTTTTCAAGGCATTTGTAGGTACTCTGCTATCTTCAAAATCCAGAAACATGTGTTCATCTATCTGTTTAAAATCTCCCCCTTTTTAAAATGATGTCTGCTTTGGAATAGGTGAAAACTGCATATGTGTTTTGAATAGGAAATGGACAGAATATCACTAAAATCAGGACCTTTTCAAAAGACTTCTTGGAAA